CCTTGGAAACACTTCTCAGTGAAATAATGATACCTCATATCCCCTTCTAGACCCCTCTCCCAAGCACATCATGCCTATATTGTGACTATAATAGACTACTAAAATTTTGAAAACATCACATTTACAATTCCAAACTTTAATCATTCCTAAAGATATACAATTTACTCACTGTAGTCGTTCGCTAGGTTGCTGCTGTAACAAAGTATAGTACTACAGACTGAGTGGCTTATACAACAGAAATTTATTTTCTCATAATTCTGGAGGGTTTAGATCAGGTTTGGTTCCTTCTGAGCGTTGTGAAGAAGCCGTTCCATGCCTCCCTCCTGGCTTTTGGTGGTTTGTTGGGAGTCTTTGGCATTGTGTGGCTTGTAAACATGTCACCTTGATCTCTCCCTTCATGTTCACATGGCCTTCTCTGTGCCCGGATTTCCCCTTTTAATAAGGATGCCACTCATGTTGGATTAGGCACCCACTCTACTCCAGTATGACCTCATCTTAACTAATTATGTTTTCAGTGACTATTTCCAAATAAGGCCACTTTCTGAGGTACAGTACTGGTGGTTAGGAATTCAACATATGAATTTTAGAGCACACCATTCAACATACAACACTCACCATGCATTACGTTTATGGAGAGAACAGAAGTGGGGCACCATGTATCACTAAGCAAGGCCAGCCACTGTGTATGTGCCTGTCCTGAGTAACCGAGCAAGGGAGGAGCAGATTCCTTGCAGATGTAGCAGCCATTGTTAGAAAATGGTCAGAGCACATGTGGAAGTGAAGGAGGGTAAATACTGTTATGATCGTGGTAATAATGAGACTTGGGGATGAAGAGTCTTTTGAATATGAAATCTAAGGTTGAATGCCAGCTAAGACAGTTCTTAAGAAAGTGGACAAAAAATTTATACTTGAAATTTATCTCTTAAACTGTTGCTTGAGGAAGCCATTGGTTGTGATCAACTTTTTGTGTTGAAATATGTATATTGAAATACGTATTTTTTATGTATATGTGTATGTGTAGGGATTTATGTGTATAAATATATGAAGGTGTGTGTGTATACACATATTTACTTTTACATGTGATTTCTTCATACTTCTTGAATATGTGTTGATCTGTAATTGCTTCGCTTTTACTCATGATGGCACTTGGTCAAGGTCACTTTTAATTTGCTGTCTTGCAGTTGCAGCATGTTTGACAATGAGCAGCACTTTAGTTATGTACAAGGTTTTGGTTTAAGAGGAATTTCTGAGTCAAGTTACGAAGTCCCTGAATTATAGAGTCAGTGTGTAATTTAACAACAATTACTGAAATTCATGTGGATTTGGGGTGGATGGGGGGTTTGGTTAGAGTTTTTCAGTAGTTTTTTATTTGTTTGTTTTGGTAGCCTCAAATCCTCCTTTTTCTGTCTTGTAAGATATGGAGTTTATTCATAAAGTAGCATCTTTTCCCCCTACTACTATGGCATAGGGAGACCTTTTTTTTTTTTCCATAAACTTTTAATTTTAGAATAGTGTTGATTTACAACAAAGTTGCAAAGGATAGTACAGAGAGCTAGCTCCTTTATACCTGACCTAGTTTCCCTTCTTGCTAACATCTTACATTACTGTGGCATATTTGTCATAGCTAAGGAACCAACATTGGTACATTACTATAAGCTGAGCACCACACTTTAGTCAGATTTCACTAGCTTTTCCCTAATGTCCTTTTTCTGTCCCAGGATCCAATTCAGGATACCGATTACGTTTAGTTGTCATGTCTCCTTCGACTCCTGTGGGATATGGCAGTTTCTCAGAGTTTCATTGTTTTTAATGACCTTGACAGTTTTAAGGAGTACTGATTAGATATTTTTTATTCCTTTTTTTTTTTTTTTTTTTTTACGTGGGCCTCTCACTGTTGTGGCCTCTCCCGTTGCGGAGCACAGGCTCCGGACGCGCAGGCTCAGCGGCCATGGTTCACGGGCCCAGCCGCTCCACGGCATGTGGGATCTTCCCAGACCAGGGCACGAACCCGTGTCCCCTGCATCGGCAGGCGGACTCTCAACCATTGCGCCACCAGGGAAGCCCTGATTAGATATTTTTGTAGAATGACCTCATTTTGGGTTTATCTGATGTTTTCCTCATGCTTCAGCCAGGGTTGTGAGATTTTGAGAGGAAGATCATGAAGGTCATTCTCATCACATATCAAAGCTGAATACTGTCACCATGGATTACCTCAATCTTGATCACCTGGCTGAGGCCGTGTTCACCATTACCCTCCCTCTATACTCTGAAGAAGCAAATTACTAAGTGCAGGTCATATTCAAGGGGATGTCAACTCCTGGAGAGGAGAATATCTAAGACATTTTTGTTTCATGAAATTATAACCAGTCATTTCTGCATAAAAATATGCCTCACCCGCTTATCTCTATGGTTTCTTTCTTTAACTGAAGGTTTATAGATGATGAATTCCTCTACTAGAAAGGATTTGCAGGGTGCTAAGGATTTCAAGGCTGCATTTTCTGACCTCCTCAATCTGTGTCTAATATGACATATGTCTGATGTGGTCCCCTGCCTAGAACAGATACCTCACAGCTGAAATGAGGTATAGGGAAGCACCAGGTAACAGGAACCCCAGGAGACCACAAGTCTGAATATTCTAGGATTTCTGAGTAGGTAAGGTTTTATTACTTTAAACATCCCAATTTTCTGTATTTTGACCATTTTATATGGTAGTCCTAAAATATTATGTAACTTATTTTCTTAATGAGTGTGATAAAATGATTTTGTCCCAATTTATAACTTATATACAGCTTGTTACTCCTTCATTGGAGTCTAGACTGAGAACTAGTTGAGTTTTGATCTGCTTTTATTGTATTTTTAATCTTTGCTTCCTCAGCTGTCATTTCTTGATGCTATCAGTTTGCCTATCTTCAGCAGTTCCCTTTCAGATTTGCTGTTTCCAATCCTGTGTTAATTTATAATCCAGACAACCAAACTTGTTAGGAATGTATACAGAGTTAGTCAGTACAGTCTGAGATAAGATCTGAAAGCTGGAGATCGAAGCAAGTGTCGGCTGTGTGTTAGTGCATGGCCATCCAGCATACTTGGGCAGCTGCCTGGGAGTTTTATTTTGCCTGCTTGCTGGTATTCCCATGTGGTAGAATGGCAAGATGGCTAAGGTGCGTTACAGTTACTTGAAACAAGACAGTTACAGCTAAACTGCTTTTCATAGTGTCCCCTCAACACATTGTGGATGACTAGGGACCCCTGGTTCAAATTTCTAAAAGAATATATATATATATGGATTTTAAGCCTTTTGAGCCAAGATTTAATGTTTACTGAAATTTAAGATACATGGTCATAGTGACTGGTTTTCAACCAAGGACCCTAAGTACTTACCTATACATCAGACTCATTGCTTTTGATAATGACCAAAATGGAAGCATGGTGCTTGCGTTAAAAATTTAAGTAAGGAAGCAGCCTGAATATTTATTTTAAACATACTTTATTGGCAGAGTAGGAAAACCGTCCACATAGTGTTAGAATTAAAGATGGCACTCGCATTCTGACATGAACTTGGTGCTGGACTGCGCATGGTTAATCAGTGCACACCTATAGAGTTAATACCAGGGGGAGATTAAGGTGCCGGAGTCCTTGAGACCAGGACACAGATAAATAAAAGTGCAAACTGACTAGAGCAGTCATACTGTTAAGGATAAAAGATTCCTTTTGATGATTCATTTAATTCTTGTAGTAATTGTTTCTTGGGAGTATGCCATGTGCACAGATACTAAGGCAGAGTCTAGGGCCAGGCTGGTGGTGAAGCCACCACCATGTAATCAGGACTCAGGTTCCTCTATCAAATTATGAGTAATTATTCTCTGTGGGTGGTTTAGGTTAATTAGAGGGGAGACTTAACGGGGTGCCTAGTAAGAGTAGTGGCATGGGTTCATTCATGATCAGACTGCATCCTTTCCAGAGCTTTCTCTCATTTGAGAAGGTAGAAAGAAAAGTACCATGGACTTTTAAGAATTAAATTCTTGTATTCAACAGTGATTTTTCCCTTTTTGGTAGATCCATATTGGGCCCAAGTTGTTATAATAGACCAACTACAGCAATTAATGTAAAGCATGGTAATCTAATACCCAGTTTTCATCTTAATTCATTGACTTTCCTGATTGTGATAAATATGCGTAAGAATTCAGATGTCAAATTTACGTCTTTCCATTTGACAGTGGTGATGTGCTTGGCATCATTTCATTGCATTTTATTTGAAGTCTAAGAAGTTATTCTTGAGAATACCAACTTAATATTTCTGTGTTGATGATAGCAGTATATCTAGATTTGTTTCTGTTTTTTTAGTTTTTTGTTCCATAATCTTTGCTACAGATTATTTAAATTTTATTCTTCGTTCTTGTTAGCAATGCCATCAACAGATTTAAGTTTTTTACTGTTTTTTTATTATAAAAGTAATACATCTTTTTAAATAACATTTAGCAAATGTTTTAAAATAGCATTTGAAAAATAAAAGAAAGGTATTACGAAAAATGTTATCAGCATCCCTAACTATATAACCACGTGTTCATATTTTCATATATTTGCTTCTACTTTTTATGCACATTTTTACATTATTGAAATACTATTGAACTGTGCTCTGTTTTTAAAATTAACATTAGATTATGGCATTTCTTCTTAGATGGTGCACATTTTTTGAAAACATATACATACATTATTTTAATAGCTAAAAAATGTTATGTGAATGTGTTAAAATTTGTGAAATCATTTTTGTATTGTTGGTTCTTGGTTTATTTCTAATTTTCACTATTAAAAGCAATTCAGTGGACATCTTTGGGCATAATTTTTTTTCCTGTTATTCATATCATTTCTCTTAGACAATAGTTGTAGAAATGGATTTAATGGGTCAAACAGTAGGAATGTTTTTCTCTTTACTGACCTCCAGCTGAAAATAAATGTCATTGTATAACAAATGCTAAATCATTCCTTTTTTCTTTTTTCTTCAGCTTACTACCCTGGGAAATCTTACACCTTCAAGCACTGTGTTTTTCTGCTGTGATATGCAGGAAAGGTTCAGACCAGCCATCAAGTATTTTGGAGATATTATTAGTGTGGGACAGAGATTGGTATGCTTGCTTGTTCATTTTTTCCAATTTGCTAAAGCATGATTCATACACAAACATAGGTATATTGCTACTTACCTTTGTGTGTTTTTTTTCCTCCAGTTACAAGGGGCCCGGATTTTAGGAATTCCAGTTATTGTAACAGAACAGTACCCTAAAGGTCTTGGAAGCACTGTTCAAGAAATTGATTTAACGGGTGTAAAACTGGTACTTCCAAAGACCAAGTTTTCAATGGTATTACCAGAAGTAGAAGCAGCATTAGCAGAGATTCCTGGAGTCAGGAGTGTTGTGTTATTTGGAGTAGAAGTGAGTACCTCTTGTTTTGTTTTGGACACAATATCATTTGTAGAAAACTTGTTATTTCCAGAATTTAATTTTGTATATAGAATACCATGTAGGTATCTGATAGAAAATAGCTACCATTTTTTAAGTGTTGACTACTTGCATGGTACTGATCTATATTAATTTGTTGAACTGTCACAGCAATCCTCTGAGCTAAGTACTTTTGGTCTCATATTGTAGGTGAGAAAACTCAAACACAGGTGCTGTGTGTCTTGCCCAAGGTCATAGAGTTAGTTAAAGTTAGATGAAGCTGCGTTTGAATCTAGGTTGATAGATTCTTGGGCCTTTACTTTGAACCCCAACTTTTGGAACACATTTTCGCCAAAGACAGTATGTTTATTTATGTGTTATAGGAGCTCACCTTGGTCATGCTTTTGTTTTAGAAAAACCTTAGAAGTCATGTAGTTCATTGTCCTTCACATTTGAATCATGTGTACCTATTTTTTTAAAGGAAAAAAAATACTCATGGATTCGTAATGCTGATTAAGATGATTTTTTGTTTGGTTTGTTTTTTTGACATGTAGAAACAGAATATAAGTATTTATTCATAGCTTTTAAACACCTCTTGAACTAAAATTTTAAAATTATGAAAACCATAAAAACAGTGAAATCCAAATAATATTAAAGACATCCATGATGTTTTGATAGTAGGTTTCAGAGTAGTAGGTTTTAATAGCCTCAGGTTTAGATATAAAATATTTCTGTATTTTGACTTAAATAATGATATAATAAAGGAAGCCTGTTTGTATAAATATGTCACACCAAATGCTGACTTTTGCACTTTTCTTGCTTGTTCATCATTAGACCTCATGTCTAATCAAAATCATCTTTGAGCAGTCCTCCAGTGCTAATTTTAATGAGTTGTCAGTTGACAATTCTCCACAGCCCTCTTGTCATATGAAGATAAGGTTGGTTGGCATTATTAAAATCTGCTTTCATTGGTTATATAATCCACTTATTGTTGGAGCCTGTTTTTACTCTTTATTCTCTGCTGATGAATTGTTACAAGTTCATACTTACAAAGATGGAATCTGTATAATTCATTTTCTGGTGATGTATACTGGGTATTTTTTGCTTGTGCTACAAGTTATTTTTAACTTGGCTTACCTCTTTACTACTGGGTGCCTTACAACAACTCAGTTTTCCCACCATTATCTCAATTGGCAGTACTGCAAACGCGTTCTTTGTGTTAGGCACTTGGTGTGAATACAGAAATAAACCCAACTGCGAGTGGCATCAAAACTGAGTAGTAGTAGTCAGCCATATGAAGGTCGTCCAGATGACATAGATGAAAATCTTTTAAAAAAAGTGCTCACAGAGCTCTAAGAATATGTTCAAGGTTCCCAGTACAAAGAACATTGATGTAATGCAGTCCCTGACTTAACAAAGAGGCAGCCAAAGCCAGAAATGCTGTTTATGCTCAAGATCACTAGTGAGTTGGAGGCAAAACTAGATGTGGACAAGGCCATTAGACCTGTAGTGCTCTTTCTGCTCTACTGTGTTGCTGCACATTTGTAAAATACTTGTAGTTTACCACGTTATTACATATGGTTTTTACTTTCCTACTAGACCCATGTGTGCATCCAACAGACAGCTCTGGAGCTCGTTGGCAGAGGTATTGAGGTTCATATTGTTGCTGATGCCACGTCGTCGAGAAGCATGATGGACAGGATGTTTGCTCTTGAGGTAATTGTCCTGCTTTAAAATAAATCATTAGCCAAGGCTTCCAAGTAAATTTGGAGGGTATCAAATATGTAACATCAGTGAAAGATTTACCTCTTAAATTTGAGCTTGGTCTGACAACAATCAGGCTGATTTCCGGGGTTTCTACTACGCACGACAAACCTCTGAGGTCTCACCATCATATCCTGTTTTACATCTTCTGTCTTTATTTCTAGATGTCTAGTGATGCCAAATGCTCCTTTACATCTTCTTTCATAACTTTGCTAGTTTTGCACATCAACTAAGAGGTATTCCAGTAAGCTTACTCTGAACTGCTGAAAGATTTGCAAATTAACAACAGTTCACCTAGGCTTAACTCGTCCAGGGTCTAGCCAACACCTAGGGTATGGTGGGCCGAAGCCTGGTTCAGCCACTTGTTAGATTTCCTCAGACTTGAATTTCTGGGGATAGGAGGTGTGTCTCTGACTGTGGACACCACTCACACACAGTGTTTAATGGCTCTCTGCGTGGAGTGTCAAGATACACTTCAGAGTCAGGGAGTTGATGACTTTCATCAGTGTTGCATAACAGTAGCCTTATGTAAGCATTGCCTATTCCGAGACTGTTGAAAAACAAACTCCCACAATTAATCCTTTGAACCTTCATTCCACATTGTGCATCTCTCTTTCATGTTTAATTCTAATTCTGTAATAGCTTTAAAGTAATGTCAATCTGGATTGAATTGCTGAATTTTTAACTGATTATTTTTATTGAGAATGGGAAATGTAGATATTTTTTTGAGACCTTCCAGTGTTCCATGCATAAGCTGACCTGTGAACCACTTTCTCTGTAGGATTGCTCAATCACCTCTCTAGCCTAAAATGTTCCCTAGGGTGGTGAGTTGGGCAAATAAGAAAGAGAGGAAAGAAAGGAGACTCAAGTCAGTGGGGAGGGCTGATGTAGAAGCAGGTGGGTAGCTGTCAGCAGCAGTGGTTTTAAGGCCCTGATTGGCCATCCCTTCTCTTATTCCTGAGCAGTGAGTCCTATTTTGCGATTATAGGTGGAAATGGTTTTATTTATTTTATTCAACTATTTTGAAATCCACTTGGACTACTGGGTTCTCTGGTTGGTTAGATACTAAGTGTTGCTTCTTCCCCTCTCAGCAGAGATCTTTAAGCTGTCCTTACAGTCATAGTTAGCTTCCACTTTTCAAATTTCCTTAGTAATCTGAGTTTAAACACTTCCACTGTCAGATCCGTACTACCTTGGCAGGCAGCTCTTTTCTTCTTTGAATACCTTTATGGTAATGCTGAGGTCCAGAACTTGAAGTGTTTCCAAGGAAGCGAAAAACTAAGAACATACAAAACCAAAAATTTTCCTTGCTTGTAAAGCGATTTCAAGAACTTTCGTCCTACATTCGTTTTTTAGATGTCTTTATTATGCCATTTATTACAGAAAATCTTGATTGTTGGCAGTTCTATGTTCTACCAAGACTCAGAATAAAAACAGCCGTTTACCATCTGAGCCTCATTCTTTTGGAGGTAGTCTGTAATCCTACTGATTAGGAGGAGTCTAAACAGTGGAGGGGTAATATGGGTTTGAATTCAGGTTCCGGCATTTTGTAAATTAGTGTCCTTGGACAAATTACCTAATATCTTTGCCTCAGATTTCTCATTGGTGATGTGAAATAAAATTCATATTTTTATGGCAAGACAAGAAAAATTTAAACATGAAAAAATTTTCTTTGCCCTTTGGCCTCCTCTCTCCTCCCTGCTGTGCATTGTGTATCTAAAGTATGCATCGACCAAACCTCCCATCAGCAGAAATACCTGCTCAACCATAAAGAGCAGACAACCCCTTAAGAGATAACATTCCTTCTTGATCTTCTAAAGGGTCACATGACCCACGACAGTGGCACTTAGATCTGGATTATGTAAACTGTCAATAATAGGTCATTTAATGTACAGCCCTCTGTCTCAATTTATGTAACTGTGCTTTGACTTCTAACGGGTGGACCAGTTCTCAGAGCTTTCTGAGGGGCTGTTCCCAGGTTATAATCCTCACTTTGGCTTGAATAAAATTTTCCATTTCTTCCTTTTTTTTTATTGGAGTATAATTGCTTTACCATGTTGTGTTAGTTTCTGCTGTACAATGAAGTGAGTCAGCTATATGTATACCTATGTCCCCTCCCTCTTGGACCTCCCTCCCACCCACCTAGGTCGTCACAAAGCACCGAGCTGAGCTTCCTGAGCTTTATAGCATGTTCCCGCTAGCTCTCTATTTTATGCATGGTAGTGTATATATATCAATCCTAATCTCCCAATTCATCCCACCCTCACCTTCCACCCCTGTGTCCACATGTCCGTTCTCTAAGTCTGTGTCTCTATTCCTGCCTTGCAAATAGGTTCATCTGTTTCTTTCTTAGATTGATGGATTAATTTTCTGTCGACTGTGAAATAGAAATAATAGTCATTACGTGGGAGGATTTTTGTGAAGAATCAATGAAATAATGTATCGATAGCACTTAGTACAGTGTCTGATACGGTAAACACTCAAATGTTAGCTGTTGCTTTTATTTTTACTGTAGCTATTATTTGTTTTTTGTTGTCTTCATGAGGTTCATCTGATCAGAAAAGTATAAGCATTTATCAGCTTCCAAGACCCAGAATGGACTAGTCCTGAGAAGTTCTGAGGAGGGAAGGAAGGAATATGGTCTGGGGTGGATTTGGAAGAGCCTGGAGCAGCCAGCATTGCCTTGGCTTACAGTGCTGAGGTTGAAAGGGAGAGAAGAAGCAGGTCAGGTGGTGATGGGGGAAGATGTGTGCCACATTTCAGATTTTCCCTCTTAGTCTTAATTTGCTATGGAGGTGCTTTAGTCCCTCAGTCCTTGGGAGAAATGTTAAGTCTCCTTTTTTCTTCTGTGACTATGAAAGTGAAATAGAGATCTGGTCTGCTCCCCTTCTTTTTTTCCTTGAGAACACAGCTACTTAAGGTCATTCCTGAGACTCCCCATATTGCCTGTTAAGACCATTGTACTAATAAGATTTATAGTTACCGTTATTAAAACTTCTCTGCCAGGATCTGTGGTGTGTGCTTTATTCCACAAAATTTTTTGAGCACCTACCATCTGTCAGGCATTCTTCTTTCAACTTACAATTGTAGAGTAAATGTGAGATAAAATAGACTAAAACCGTCTCATGAGCTTGATGTCCTTGTACTTCTGGGGAGTTGTTAGTGTTACTTGGGAATTTAATGGGTTTAGTCTTTTTTTTCCCCACCCTCTCTCAGGCCATCTTGGCTTTGTGTTCTTGCATTTTTAGGTTTGTGGGTCAGAGTAACCTTTCCTTTGGCCTAGTTGGACTGGTTTTGCAAGTGTAAGGGAAGAATTCAGGAAGCCTATTAAGCCGCGGAGCCATTTGCATTAAACAGCTGGAGGTTTAATTGCCCCTTCTAAAGCCAGGAGATGAAGTGAGTGTGGGACCAGTATTGTAGGTGTCCTCATAGCTCAAGGTGGTGGGCAGGAACCTGCCGGGGTCTGGAAAAAGTGCTGCTGTTCTCTTTCTGCTCAGGTACCCTTCTGGGTTGGGGCTGGGAAGGCACTGTGGGAAGATCTGTTAGTCTGACCTAAAGACTTTGCAATCTTAGCAAAGGTGTGAGCCATGCCTTCCCCTAACACAGGTTCTTGGCTTGATTACTTTCGAATGCAATCAATATTGGGCATATCTCAGTCTTGAAGTTAAATAATTTTATGTAAGTTTCTGTTTACTAAAGTTTTTTTGTGTGCCTCTAGTGTCCCAGCTTGCCCCTGCCACAGTGTACGGACTCACAGCATCCCTGAGGGTTGCTGGCTTAGGGTGGATCCGGTGCTGCTCTAGTCTGGTCAGGAGAGCACTATGGAAAAAAGCTGCCTTCTTCCTGGGTCATCACATTTCTTCCTCAGACCTGGAAACAGTTTTCTATCCTTCCTGCCTCATGAAGGAACTAGAAGGATTACTGAGAACTGACCTTTGTTTGCACTTTGGAATATAGAAGGCACTTTCACAGACATTGAAAGTATGATTCAGATTCAGACTGACTGATTGAAAGTCCGTTGATTCAACAGGGAGCAGTAAGGAAGGCAGGCAGCCAGGGAGAGAGCTGCATTTGGATGGCTGGACATTCACGGCATCGAGCTGCAGCTAGTCTTATTCCCCACCCTGCTGTCTGAAGCAAGCACACAGTCCTTTGAGATTTCTGAGGGTTTGATACGATAGTCAGGAGTTGACTGAAAAGCGAGGAGGAGGAAATTAGTCTCCAGACGTCTTTAAAGAACTCAGTGATGACTCATCCTCTGGGATTTGTCCCAACATAAAGGACACTAGCAGCCTCACTTATTTCTTCCTCTTTCCTATGTAGCCCTCTGCTGTTTTTTCATTTCTCCAGAGCTGTGGTCAGCCTGCTCTGCACACTCCTGTGCTGGTGTTTGAGGTCCAAGCTTGCTATCTGATAAGTAGGCTATGGCTTACGCTCCCTTCTGCATCCTTGGGGATAAAAAGGAAGAGTCTGCCAGTGGGAAGGTTGGGTCTCTGGATCTGCAGCCATTTTAAGGGTTTACTTTGGCTCCATTGGGATGTCCTGTTTATTCAGGTGACTCCCTTTATGACGAGACACTGATCCACGTCTTTTCCTCTAACTTGCATAGGAATCGTGTCTAACCACCTCATCTTCTAAGGCTCTTACAGTGAATGTTGCTTGGGGTAACAAACAGTTGGTCTGTTTTTTTCCCTGAGGTTTCTGATAAATACATCCAGAAAATGGATCTCTGCTCTAGAATTCTCCTCCCATTCCCCTCTCCCACCCTTTTCTCCACTTTCTCTTCTTTGCCCTCCTCCTTCCCTTTCCCTCCTCCCCTTCCTTGAGATTTCTGTCCTTAGCTCTTTATTATGATTCCACTGGAACAATTTGGCAAGGATGTTCTTTAACCTGTCAATGAAACTCTATACAACCTTAAATTTTATACTCCTGTTTATGATTCTAAAAAGCTTACAATGGTGGCAATGGTAGTGGTTCTGTTGTCGTCCAGGGGCACGTTCTTAAACCTCACATGAGGCTCCTCTACCACCAGCATTTCTTACTTACGGGAAGGGCATGCAGTTTAATGTCAGATATTTGGAGAGAGGAAAAAAAGAACTTAAGAATCATTGTTTTACAGTCCTTAGCCTTGATTTCCCTCTGTCCCTGGTGCATATAAGTGAGAATATTGGCAAGTGAGAATATTGGCTGCCTATTCTCTTTTACTTGTTTCTAGTCCTTATTACTAATATTGAGAACCATCATAAAGGGTTTGTGGTGTGGCTAGTTTGAAATCTCTCCTCATCTCTGAATTTGATGGTATGGCCAAGGCCCATGGTTTTGATAGAGGACACTAATCATTGTGTCCTGGCATGCTTTTTGCTGTTCTAATACAGTGTTCATTCTCATGCTTAATTTCTTGATTTGTCTTTTTTTTTTTTAAAGCGTCTTGCTCGAACTGGGATCATAGTGACTACAAGTGAAGCTGTTCTGCTACAGCTGGTGGCTGATAAAGATCATCCAAAATTCAAGGAAATTCAGAATCTAATTAAGGCGAGTGCTCCAGAGTCGGGTCTGCTTTCCAAAGTATAAGACATGTGAAGAACGGGTGTGCTACTCACCATCAGGTGACAGGACTGTAAGCCCGGACAAGCTCATGTCTCTAGTAGAATTAAAACGTTAAGTCAAAAATTGGCTCTTTTTTGCGCCTCTTAGTAAAACTTAACCAATTAGACCGTTTGGGTACCAGCATTTAGTTACAGATGTCAAAGGTTTTAGGTGCTGCTTACCTTCTTCTTATGTTAATGTGCTTTTATTTATTAAAAAAATTATAATGGAGGTGCCTGTTTTCTCTATACCATATACACTGATCATACTTTCAAAAGTGCACACTCTTGTGAAATTTTCTTAAATTGTGCACAGTTAAAGACAAAGATCTACCAGTAATAGTTTGACTTTTGTCTTATTGTAAGATGTATGTTATAATGTTAATGTGGATTCAGTGCTTTTACTTTACAGGTTGATTGAAATAGGATTATTAAACGAGAATTTAAAAACAGGACTCTGGATCGTGTTACCCCTTTCGCTCACGATGCAGTCAAGTTATTTATTATGTTGCACTGGTTTAACCAGACAAACTTATGTTGAATAATTACATATCTTTCTTAATTATGCTAATTTTCTTATTCTGCTCACCATCACTAATTCTCTGTTAATGTTCTCTTTTTTAACTGAATTTTTTACCCAGAAAGACTCATTCGCTCATTGCTTGTTTTAATTTTGTAAACAGATGGGAGGATTTGCAACACCATATCATTAATGGAGGGCTGTTTTAACATCTCTGAAGTATTATTTTAGCTGAATAGCTTTATAACCATCTTGAATACATCTAATATGCACAAGATTTAGCAAAAAGGTAAAGGCTGGATAAAATGTAGTTTTAAAACATCCATATTCTTGTTTGAAATTTTTTCCACCTACCTTCCAATTACTGTTAATGCGAAAGGCCTCAGTAATCATTTGGTAGTATTGCTTTTGTAGTCATTACTACCATTCAATAAATTTATTTTCATTAAATACTTATTATAGGGTTTTAAAACTTTTTAAAAAATATTATGTGAAATATGAAACATTGGTGTCTTTTATATTAAAGTAATTAAAGAAAACGTATTATGTGAATGAAGTTCTTTTGTCTGCCACAGCATGGCTCTTTGAGTACTCTTCCAGGGATTCTAATATTTATTTAAAGGTGTAAAAATTTTGACATTTGTAATCTTTCAGCTCATGGAAATTTTCGAAGAATGAAAATCCATTTACCCATGGGGGTAAATGGATTTTATTGAAGGGCCTTCTTATTTAAGAGCAGGAGAAATTTTTTTTTTTTTTTTTTTTTTTTCTGGTCAGTGTAACAAACAGCAATCTAGCATTCTTCTTAGGGTTATGTTTAAATTTTTTTCCCAGCAAACTTGTGTGTCAAAAAAGAAGAATCAAAGATTTCTACACGTTTTAAAATAGTTTTTAATAAATTTAACCTAGTGCTTCTCAAACTCTAATATGAATACACATCACCTGGGGGATCTTGTTAAAATGCTGACTCTGGTTCAATAGGTCTGGCTTCTGTGCCTGACATTTTGCATTTACAAAAAAAAAAAAAAAAGCCAGTTTCTACCAGCCCTGCTCAGAAGAGACCAACCATACTTTATGAGTAGCAAGGATTTAACTAACATCACCTGTTTTCCTCCACTGAGTCCTGGCCCTTCCTCTCATGAAACACCACCCCAATGAATGAAGCCTTTTCACAGCTGAAACAATTCTGTTAACTTGAGTCAGTTTCCTATGGCTACCATATTAAATTACCACAAACTTTGAGGTTTAAAACAACGCAAATTTATTATCTTCCAGTTCAGTAGGTTAGAAATCTGAAATGGGTTTCACGGGGCTAAAATCTGTCTTTCCCACTAGATTCTAAGCTTCTTGAAAGCAGGACCTGTGCATTCTATACTCATTCTGGAAACTCATTTTGAGAACCTACTAAGTTCTAAACATGTGCTGAGGATAGAAAGATGCCCCAAGGAAGCTTAGGGTCTGGTACAAAATCAGATGTATCATAACCTTTCAGTAAAAGTGAATTGAATTATGTCAAAGGTTCAGGAATGTCAGTACAACAAAGTTTAGAGTAATATACTTGTGAATTCTGCGTTCTCCCTTCTTTTTTGCAGATCATGCAAGCAAGGTGATGAGGCCTAATTATAGGAAGCCTGAATTGATTTTAATACATTAGTCTTTGAATTGGAAGTGTCTCCAATTTTGTAAGGTAACAAAATTCTTTTAACTGATGTAAATAAAGACCTTGAGAACATAAGCAAAAGAATAGTCCAGTGTCTTGAATTGCAAGGGGGTTAGAAATAAGATCAAGACACATCGTTTATTGAAATTCTAAAACTTTATCTGAAATTAAAAGTAATAAAAGTTATTCTAACCAGGAAACCAAATACCCTATAACATCCATTTAATTACCACATTTCTCTAATTAGGAAGAATATTTTCTCTTTTTAAAAGTTGATATTTGGGTAAATATGACTTTAGATCTGGATGGAACTTTAAAGATCATGATCTCAGGTCCATTTCAGCTGTAAAATTCTAGAACGGTTTTCTTTCACAAGTGTGGCTAGTGAGACCCAGAGATAGATGTTTCTAGTTGCAGAGGTGAGGAAAGGCTCAGCAAGATGACAACTACGTTACTTAACACGTTGCCCTGGGCTTCCTTACATTAGTTGATAACGCTAGAGATTATCAGAAGGAAAGGGGGGGAGAACAGTAAAAAGGATCCATTTTAGAATCTATAAAACAGTACACTGTTTACATTCGCAAAGCTAAAGGGCTGCTTCCAGCGCCGAGAACTTTCCCTGTGCCCCATCTTCAGTCTAGCCTTACTTCTTTCCAGATGGTTTTGAACTAATTTGGGAGAATGGCTGATAATATGAAAATTACCATTATTTTCATCCTCAGATAACTACAAATCAATATTCTTACATCACTAATGCTTCCTTGATCCTCCATGGAGCATTATTGTCACTGTTTAACCCATGATTAAAAGATTTAAAAATCACTAGGCTACCATAATGAGATACATCGATTACTTTGATATGGTTATGAAATAATTGCAGTTGGCTTTTAGAATTCTTATTACCATGTTGCTTTTCTTTATCTTTTAAGCCTGAATAGCAGACATCTTATTGAAAATTTATTTTTAGAAGAGATTAAAGTCCAAAATGGTGGTCAAGTAAAATAACCTATTAATTCCGGTTAAAGAGACTGTAATCTTGATTCCCCTGTTGTAGGAAACAGAATTTTGGACTGGGCCCCAAGGTTCCCACTCTGGTGTACACACACTTTGCCCTGACAGGCAAATACTAATCTCTGTTCAGCTGTAAAGGGTTTGCTCAAGTAATTAAGGCTTCAAATCAGTTCACCTTAAGATAGGGAGACTGCCTTTGTGTTCTTGATTGAATCAGGTGAGCTCTTAAAAGGGACTGGGCTGTTCCTGGCAAAAGAGATTCAGTCTGTGGGAGGGATTCCGTGGGAGGGAGATTCCCTGTTGCTGACTTAGAAGATTCTCTGTTGCTTACTACAAGGCTGAGGATTTGGGAGGCCAGCAAGGAAACAGGCTCCTAAGTTGTACAAGCACAAGGAACTCAATTTAGCAAAGAACCTCAGTGAGTCTGGAAGCAAGTTTTCCCCCAGAGCCCCCAGGTAAGAATGCGGGCGGGACCCCCAATGCCTTGATTTCTGCCTTGTGAGACCCTGAGCCGAGATGGCCCCCATGCTGTGCCAGGACTTCTGATCTCCAGAACTATGAGGTAGTAAACGTCTCTTAAGCTGCTAAATTAGTGATAATTCATTACACAGCAATAGAAAATTAATGTACTTGCTTTTTTTGTTTGTTGTGGTTTTTTTTGATTTGCAATCATGTTTATATGAAGAAAAAGAGGAAGAAAATAAGTGGGATGCCATCAAGACAGTAAATCTAGCTTCTATTCATTTATTTCCAGAAAAGTGGGATGGGAGGGAAAGTCCCTAAACTGTAGAAGTCCCTTGGCTTCATATTTGTTCATTGTTCTCACAGCTGTTTCCTTGCTGAATTGTTCCTCCCACTTGAGACAGTAAATGCAAGAAATGAAAGGTGATGTGTCTCAGAACCTATGGTTAATACACAAATGCTCACTGTTAACGTATTTTGAATACGTGCAGCTTTGAATTGGACTTCTGGAAGATACATACTGTGCTTTCACAAAATAGCCTGTTTGGCAGCCCCAACTAAAAATGTGGAATGCTTTGTAAATGTCGGAAATGTGGGGATTTTTCCAAGAAATTAAGACCTAGAAATAATACATGAAACACACAAAGAAGGCAGGTGTAAATTGTTAGCTGTTACCCAAATGTTAACATCTTTTTGGTTGTATTGTTTGTATGCCAATAAGTGCTTTTTTCTTTTGGAGAATTTGGCAAAACTTAAATACTGTGTCGTATGATGTCCATATTGGATTTCAGCAGTTCATTCCTGCAGGTAGACAGCATGGTGTAGATGTAACATTGTGTGTGTTTATCTATCACATACCTTTCTTTTCATATTTAAAAAAAATGGTTGGAGTTGTTGGTGGAGGGAATTGGCAGGAAAGAGAAGAATGGGGGATTGCCTTTAAATACTGGAGAAAGAGCCACTGGTTATGTGATGCATTGTGTAATGAAAAGCTTTGAAATGGTAGACCCAGCTTCATTCTTAATAGCTTTAACACTGGGGGCAAATGTCTCATTTGTACAATGAAGAGATTGGACTGAACTGTACCATGTGTAAGGTTCATTGCAGTTCTAAATTGTATACTTCAGATTTTTAAAGTGAATCAAATTTAATATTTGAGCGTCTGTCATATTAAGTAACTCAATCCTCATAACAACCATATAATGTAACTGAAGAACTAAGTGAATAAGTAACTTGCCCAAGGTCATCCATCTGGTTGGAAGTGAGAAGGCTGAGATTTTAACCTAGAATTTAGAAACTGCTGTAACTGCCATAACTACTATGCTGTACTCCCTCTGGCCGTCACGAGAGCCAGTCATTGTGCGAGGGAAGCCTCTGTGAGCAGGTAATGATGTGTGAGGCATGGGTGGCAAGTGGGGATTCTTTATTTCCAAGTTTTAAAAAAATTTCTATATAGACAACTTTATGCTCTGTTTGCTATAAATAGCATTTTTGAAGACTAAACATTTTAAAATATTCTTTAGAGAGCTCATTGAGAAAGGTGAGTTCCATTATATGCCAACCGTCTTGCTGTCTTTAGTCTTCCTTTAAATATTAACTAAATTGATTTAGCTATGCATTCAAAAAAGTAATTAGAAATTTTGTCAACTCGCCCAACCTCTGTATTCAAATCTTCTAGAGATAAATAGAAGCTTAATTTGTCTATGGCGAATATTGACTTCGACAAATTTCTGCATATTTTAATTACAAAATAACTATACTTAGCTAAAACTAAATCCATCTCTTTTAAATACCTGAATATTTTAGTTAGCTTTGAATAAAAAGTCTTCAGTGACATGATTAGAACCAAAATTAGCATAAAAGCTTTTTAGAATTATAGAGGAGTGGGAACACACCTATGCGGTCGCCCTTGTTCTCTTTCCATGTTGACCAATCTCATATGTTCTGAATAAATCTAGTTAAATCATTTGCTATAATAACCTGTAGACATGACTTTTCAAGCTAAAACCAGTGGCAGGCTTGGGATTTGATTGTACACTTCTTATAAGATAATTACCATGCTACTGTTTCATGGATGCTAGCAGAAGACATGACATTCCTGGATCAGAGACAAAGGACTTAATTATGCAAGCACTGTGAGCAGTAGCATGTGTGCATTGGTTCCCTTTACACCTAAGTCCCACAGGGGCGATGCAGTATGTACCAGATGGATACCATGCACTCAGTGGGTTTACACTGAACTTTTATAGCAAACAGTAAGCAAACCTGTTCTTTGTCCATAAAAAGCTGTTACCTCATTACTCAAGGTTACCGGCTGCATAAACAAGACTGAGAAGTGGGCTGGGTAGAAGTGTTCAGGGCCTTGAAGACATGGCACACCCAGCAAGACCTGGAGGAGTACAAGAGCTCTAAGGAGGACTTACCTCCCAGCAGACAGGTGTGGTGAACTTTAGTGGAAAAGGTAGTGAGGCAGGGCTCAGGTTCTTGTCCTAGCTCTCTGCAGCAGCCTTCAACAAGCCTTTCTGAGACATCTCTAGGTTCTCTTGTATAGGAAATGGAGTTGGATGAGATGACAAAAAATATCTACTCTTTCATCTAGATATTAGGGTTATACTTTTCTGAAAACCTTCATTTAAAATAAGACTGAACAGGTTGCCTAAGGCTAAAAATTGAGCCTCAGAATTTTTACAAAATCAAGCAACACGAGCACAGAATGGCTGATTCCCCTCAAGTGTTAAATGGATTCTTAGGAGAGAAGATGAATCATTGTATTGGTTCAAACAAGGATGCCCTTTATAATCTTAAGAGACATACCTTAACGCAAACACAATTATAAAAGCGTGAACAAGAAATGTTACCTCATTTTCTTTGATAAACAAAAAAATTCCAATAATTATATAAGGCATAAGGGCATTCATTAAAAAAATTATCTTTATGGAATGTCTGGACCAGCTTAGAGATTTTAGATTGAATGCATTGTTTGAGATTTTTTTTCAAGAACAAATGAATGAGAGCTCATTACTTAATCTTGTGAAGCACATTTTATAGATTTTTTATTTTAGATTTTGGAATAGATTCTGTGAATTCACAAATTTTTCTGAAGGTTACTACATTAAGATCAGCTTTGTTGGTCGAAACTTCTCAAAAATAGGTTAAGCATCTACTTTTCACCCCTTGAAAAATTCTACTCGAAAGAACTACTAAATTTTTAAATGAAAGATACTTGGGAAGATGTTAAATGATTTGAGTCCACATTAACTTGCAAAATGGCAAAAATAGTTCTGGAAAATCCAATCATGCTATCACTGTTAAAATTTAGATTGTACACAAAGCTCTGTTTTGGCTACTTAGAATGTGGAAAGATGTTCTGGTACATGGGGTTTATTTATATTAACATCATCCAGCAAACACGTTCTGTCACTGATAGACCAGCAGCACAGGTTTTGAAGTATTTTAACACATAAGAAATAGACTGCAAGCAAACCTTGGCTACCAAGAGTTTTCTGGAGTGAATATATATGGGTTTGTCTGTTCCTTCAGTACTGCTTTATTGACTGCCTACCCAGTGAAAGCCTCCCTGCCAGGGAATGTCTCCAGAAGAGAGAGCTGTTCTGAAGAAGTTCAGTCTAATGAGAGACAAAACAGGTCACACAGGGTGGTTAGTACAAAGATGAGGTCCTGGACATAATTGGGGAATGCTGGAAAACAAATTCTCCCCAGATGGGTTACGGCTTTTTAAATCCAGGGCCTGGAACCTTTTCATTTTAATTCTTTCTGGCAGGGTTTGTTTCTTTGGCTTTTGGCTGGTTAGTTTGGTTTAATAGATACAATTATATTGTAATATATAATCTATATTATGGTTTGTTTTAATATTCGTAACATTTCCTGCCTTAACAGGTTAGGACATTTTACTCCTTGAAGGAGCTTACAATCTAGTTGTCTAAAAAGAGCTGCACAACCTGCACTGGCCACGCCCAACACAGGTGAAGGGCTTCGTACAAAATGGGCAGTAATAGGAGCTTGATACCACTTACTCTGAGCCAGGTACTTAGATGCTGTGACTTCCCTAATACTCATAACCTTGTCAGGTTGTTTCTGTTATCCTTACACGGAGAGGTTAAGAACCTGGAGCTAGGAGTTGGTATGAATGAACCCTGTTTTACGGGCTCTCCCACTAACTGCATAGCCTTGAATATTCCTAAATATCAGCTATGGGGAAGGACAGCTCACGATACATACACCAGGGCAACGTCTAAAAAAATTCTGTTGAGTAGACCAGTTATTCATGGTATGTATCGATTAAAGACAGCTCTGCTGGGGTGTTGCTAGTCGTGCCGGGTGACCGGGGGTTAATGTGCAGTAGGCATTGCGTAACCCAGAGCGCTCAAACCCGATTGCCCATGGGGTGAGGCAAGCAATACAAATAAATGAAATGGGACAGGTAGGCCTGATACGTGTGCAGCTAAGTTTGAGAACCAGTGCTCTGAGACTTCTCTACTCAACGAGCCCCTCAAATCATCACCATCATACCTGTGGGAAATAGAGAATCTCAAGCCCCATGCTAGTACTACCAGTACATAATCTGTGGTTTACCAAAATTCCCAGGTGATTCTATGCAGGCTAAAGTTAGAGAAGCATTGCCTAATAATCAAGTGACAGGTTGAACCTCACTCTAAAGTCTTAGAACAGTGGTTCTTAAATCACGGCTACGCATAAAAATCAGGGAGTTTCAAAAAGGTACTAATATTCACATCTGTCATTGGAAATTCTGTTTTAATTGATCTCTGGTTAAAATCCTGGAATCAGTATTTTAAAAAATTGTCCCAAAGTGAATCTAATATGCCAGGGTTAGAAAAAAAAAAAAACACCTGTAATTCAGGTTTTTTTTTTTTTCCACTTTGAAATTCTATGAAACTGTCTTCACCGAATACATCTTTCTTGTATGGAGTCATCTGATAATTACTTCATATTGAAAAAGGCACTGGGAGAATTTTGCCTGCTTCCAAAACTGTTAGCTGAATGTTGTTAGCTGTTAGTTGAACTAGGTCTGAATGTTTTCTGATCATTGATATTAAGTAACTCTTCATCTGCCACTCTTGAAGATGGACTTAAGAATTAGTCTGCCTTCGTTCGTGAACAGGCAGCCCTTCACTTTGGTTTTCAGTCTATCTATACAGCAAAACCATCTGGGGACCTTGCATCCACATTTAGTGTACTTTCACAGAGCTCAGAATTCTGATGGGGTGAAGGGCACGTGCTTTTAGTCACCCACACACAGTCCCACAGTAAGCTACTGGAACGGTTCAACCAACCAGGTTGTCCTATCTGTTAGGACTTAGAGATCACCTGGAATAAATCGAATTTTATCATCACTCCTGTGAACTCCAGATTTTTCAACTGTTAAAAAAGAAGATCTTGTTACTTATGAGAACTTCATATAATGTTTATAAAGCACTTAACACAGTCTCAACTCTGAATACTTCTGAAAGTCTAATCTGACAGGGCAGGTCTTCTCCTGATGGAAGATATTCACCTCAAGTGGTGTATATCAAAGACCTTGGCTCCAATTTCTTTAACTTCTACCCAAATTAAGGCATTTTTTCCCCCTTAATGAACTAGTTGCATGCCTTCCAATCACAAAATAGAAAAATAGCTACCTTTTCTTATGCAGATGGCATGGCTTATCATAAAGAGCTAGAGGTACCCAAATAAGCCAAATGATCTTCTGAGAAAAATTAAGTGCCCGCCCCCGCCCCCCGCCCAAGTAAGCAGTTGAATTGAGCGATTCAGTTTTTCCAGCCTTGTGGGGCAGGCTGGCAACCAAATTCAGGTGGGTGGGCCTGCAATCCCAATCACAAGTACTTTAAGAGCCATATTAAGGTTCTTCTGTCAGTGTCAACAGGTCACACCTGTTAACTCAAGTTTAACTGGCTAATTTATCTGTCGTGCTACAGTGGTTTTCAATCTTTCTATCACGGTGCAAGTAAAAAAGAAAACTAACATTTCTAGAGTACTTTAGGGTAAACTGATAAAGCGTGATCAGGAGAGGCAACGTACTGAAATGCTTTGGCTGCTCAGAGGGCTGGAAACATCCATATCTCAGTACAAGCACGCTTGGATCCTAGTCCGGGAACACGTGCACTAGAAGCTCTATGGCGCCCCTTCGGGGCATGATATGGGAATAGGGCTCTCAACACTGCTTCGTCCAGAGCAGCTCATCTCTCATGTTTTATTATTTATCTTCCATATAAATCTTCATTTACAGAAAAGTGAAGTCCCTGCCTTTGTGGGATGTAACTTATGATGGTATCTCGGCTTTCATTTTATAAAAATGGATCATGTAATTTAATATCACTTGAAGAAAGTGGTAATAGCTCAGTGTAAGGAGATCCAGTATTTTCAGACATTCCTTTTGGAGTCTGTTTTGATAACAAGTTTCTTAGTATTTCCCCCCGGCTTTCTGTTCTATTCTTGTTTGTGGAAAGGCATGTATCTTGTATGTGATTTGTTATGAACCTAGATGGTGAAATACACTGAGAAATAGTGAATGCCTAATTAGAAATTAAGAATTTTTCAGTAAATCCAGCCTTAGAAATTAACTCATCGAATTTCCTTTACGGATGAGATACTGAAATGCAAACTCATCTCCTCCACGAGTGATTTGTTCAGTGGGTTTTCATGTCTTCCTAACCAGGCCACATCAAGGCTGTTCACATTTCCTCAGAGCTTTGAGGGGATATTGTTTATTTGCTAACCAAAGCTCAAAGACCTGGTGACTTCACATAAAGAAAAGCTGATCCAAGGTATGAAAAATGAGGACTCACTACTTACTGTTTAGTTAAATACAAATTTATAAATCAGAAAATCATTTTTTAATCGGTGTGCCTACTGTCTTTGGCTATAAGAAGTATACAGTATTTGATACAAATTCCTGAGAGGATTTTGAACTACTTATTTGTGTTCTGTATAAATGCATACATTTGAATATTTGGATTCAGTGCTTCCTTGTGCACTGTGAAAGCAGTGAGGCCTGAATAAGGCAGTCGTGTAGGGGAGAGGACATGAGTGACTTGAGTAAAACTCCACAGCTTTGCTGAGAGTTTTGCAGACCTAATTGTTGGTATTTGGTGGTGCTTTCCAATCTGTTTACTTTCCTTTATTATAAATAGTCAAAAATATGACTGAAACAGGGCTGGCAGAGCTAATATTTCTTTCTCCTGGTTGCGTTCTGTCTCCAGCCATCCTTCTCTCTGCAGATTTAATTTTTCAACAATGATTTGTATGTGTGTGTATGTTCTGCATGTCAGATGAACTCTGAGGATACAAAGACATAATATGAAACTGCCCCATCTTAAGGCACTTATCTACTCGTGAGGTAATTTCTAATTCATCAAAGAATTCAAAAGTGAGACTTACCCGTAATTCCTGCTAGTAATCAATTTTTAGGTTTAGGTGTTCAGAAATGTTACTTTTTAAAAAAATGGAGTTAGACACTGTGTCAGTTTAGGGAATGCTAGGAAACATAATAAATTTAATCAGATAAAGACTTTTGGCAAAGTCATAATACAACAGTGCATTTTTTCCCAGTGATTTCTAGTGATTTCTGTGATCTCAGATTATTAAAAACAAACTTTATATGAAATTTAGGAGTAATATTGAGAGAATTATTTAAATTTTAATAACAAATCATTAGTTTGTATGCATTATTTCACCTAAATATTAAAATCAAAGTGAATTTTCACTATCCTGAATTGGACCTACTTTTAGGTCATTTTTTTTTTTTTTTTTAACATCTTTATTGGGGTATAATTGCTTTACAATGGTGTGTTAGTTTCTGCTTTATAACAAAGTGAATCAGTTATACATATACATATGTTCCCATATGTCTTCCCTCTTGCGTCTCCCTCCCTCCCACTCTCCCTATCCCACCCCTCCAGGCTGTCACAAAGCACCGAGCTAATATCCCTGTGCCTTGCGGCTGCTTCCCCCTAGCTATCTACCTTACTACGTTTGTTAGTGTGTATATGTCCATGACTCTCTCTCGCCCTGTCAAAGCTCACCCTTCCCCCTCCCCATATCCTCAAGTCCGTTCTCCAGTAGGTCTGCGTCTTTATTCCTGTCTTACCCCTAGGTTCTTCATGACATTTTTTTTTCCCCTTAAATTCCATATATATGTGTTAGCATACGGTGTTTGTCTTTTTCTTTCTGACTTACTTCACTCTATGACAGACTCTAGGTCTATCCATCTCATTACAAATAGCTCAATTTCATTTCTTTTTAAGGCTGAGTAATATTCCATTGTATATATGTGCCACATCTTCTTTATCCATTCATCCGATGATGGGCGCTTAGGTTGTTTCCATCTCCGGGCTATTGTAAATAGAGCTGCAATGAACATTTTGGTACATGACTCTTTTTGAATTTTGGTTTTCTCAGGGTATATGCCCAGTAGTGGGATTGCTGGGTCATATGGTAATTCTATTTGTAGTTTTTTAAGGAACCTCCATACTGTTCTCCATAGTGGCTGAACCAATTCACATTCCCACCAGCAGTGCAAGAGTGTTCCCTTTTCTCCACACCCTCTCCAGCATTTATTGTTTCTAGATTTTTTGATGATGGCCATTCTGACTGGTGTGAGATGATATCTCATTGTAGTTTTGATTTGCATTTCTCTAATGATTAATGATGTTGAGCATTCTTTCATGTGTTTGTTGGCATTCTGTATATCTTCTTTGGAGAAATGTCTATTTAGGTCTTCTGCCCATTTTTGGATTGGGTTGTTTGTTTTTTTGTTATTGAGCTGCATGAGCTGCTTGTAAATTTTGGAGATTAATCCTTTGTCAGTTGCTTCATTTGCAAATATTTTCTCCCATTCTGAGGGTTGTCTTTTGGTCTTGATTATGGTTTCCTTTGCTGTGCAAAAGCTTTGAAGTTTCATTAGGTCCCATTTGTTTATTTTTGTTTTTATTTCCATTACTCTAGGAGGTGGGTCAGAAAGGATCTTGCTGTGATTTATGTCATAGAGTGTTCTGCCTATGTTTTCCTCTAAGAGTTTGATAGTTTCTGGCCTTACATTTAGGTCTTTAATCCATTTTGAGCTTATTTTTGTGTATGGTGTTAGGGAGTGATCTAATCTCATACTTTTACATGTACCTGTCCAGTTTTCCCAGCACCATTTATTGAAGAGGCTGTCCTTTCTCCACTGTACATTCCTGCCACCTTTATCAAAGATAAGGTGTCCATATGTGCGTGGGTTTATCGCTGGGCTTTCTATCCTGTTCCATTGATCTATATTTCTGTTTTTGTTCCAGTACCATACTGTCTTGATTACTGTAGCTTTGTAGTATAGTCTGAAGTCAGGGAGCCTGATTCCTCCAGCTCCTTTTTTCGTTCTCAAGATTGCTTTGGCTATTCGGGGTCTTTTGTGTTTCCATACAAATTGCAAAATTTTTTGTTCTAGTTCTGTGAAAAATGCCAGTGGTAGTTTGATAGGGATTGCATTGAATCTGTAGATTGCTTTGGGTAGTAGAGTCATTTTCACAATGTTGATTCTTCCCACCCAAGAACATGGTATATCTCTCCATCTATTTGTATCATCTTTAATTTCTTTCATCAGTGTCTTATAATTCTCTGCATACAGGTCTTTCGTCTCCTTAGGTAGGTTTATTCCTAGATATTTTATTCTTTTTGTTGCAATGGTAAATGGGAGTGTTTTCTTGATTTCACTTTCAGATTTTTCATCATTAGTATATAGGAATGCCAGAGATTTCTGTGCATTAACTTTGTATCCTGCTACTTTACCAAATTCATTGATTAGCTCTAGTAGTTTTCTGGTAGCATCTTTAGGATTCTCTATGTATAGTAT